ATAGATTTAGTGGAATTAAATTAATGTTGATATTATTACTATAAGATTTCTCATGAACTATACTATATGTTTGAAATGAGTTCATTGAGTGTATAATCATTAGCATAGACTTAGTAATTTATATAAGAAAGTACATTGATAAAGTTGATTTAAATTAATGTTGATAGTCAGATAGTATTACTAAAAGATTTCTCATGGACTATGAACTCATTACCATCAATGGTAATGAGCACATCATACAAGCCCTTAATATTGACCCATCATATTCAGAACGTGACCCATTTTTGAGAAGTCATGATCCCCCATTGATAGGATCAAAATCCTTTGCAGTCAAAGATCGAGATCCTTTTAGATTAGGAACTGAGATCCCAATAGGTAGGGATCGAGATCCCCTTACAGGAGGAAGCGAATACCGCTCAAGCTCCGGATCCCGGATCGAGATTCCAAGAGGGGAACACCACCCCTTGACCAAGATCCCCACAACTATGGAGTAGCCATGAGAAATAGTCTTCCTGGACTTATCTATCCCTCATTTCCATTTTAAAAAACACGATAAATATAAAGATCTTGGGTTTGGCATTTTTCCATGCTTGCCCCACCAAGAGAGTGAGATTACAAGTTGGTGGCCACAATTGACAAAGCCCTCACCTAAAATCAATTACAAACTCAGGTATTCAGTTTCCAAATACTTGTTGACCTAGTTGGGGTGCCGAGATAATGATGACTCATCTCCTAGAGATGAACCCTTGCCCCACATTGACCAGGCTTGAAGTATTTTCCAATATCTCTTTAGGTCCTACTGAGTTATGCAATCCTCTTATAGATTAACCACTATTTTGTTGGAAGAATTGTCTATCGTGGATGCTTTGCATACAAGTGATTCTTTAGGGTCAATGGAATTGAAGGAGAAAAAGAACAGGATATTCTCAAGCCAATGTTTATACGCCTTGTCACAAGCAAGGATATCTAAAACATCTAATCTCTTGGGCCTTGTCTAAACCTAAGTGCCAGGGAGTTTCAGCCCAAGATTTCATTTGTAACTAGAAGGAACATTGCTTGTCAAACCAATCTTGCAACTTTGATAGGACTCCTCCGCTGCAAGTTTCACTACTAATCAAATACAATTTTCGACAGAAACTCAATGGAGAACCCTTTAGACAAAAACCCTTTTTTCTCTGTATCCTCATCAAATTCATCACTTCTCTATCCTCTCCTCTCATTATTCCAACTATGTCTTCTTTTATATGTGCCCCTTGAAGATAACCTAATATATGCATGAACTAAATGAAATAATTAGTCATCAAAATAAAACTATAAAACTAAATTAAGTATAGATCATGCCAAGATACATAGATACACAACCATCATTTTCTGAAGGATCCATTATACTTGGACCAGTGCCTAAAGGATATAAGCAGATGATAAATAAAATGTCATATAAGCTTCTCGAATGCATTAAAGTAAAGGAAAGCCTATAACTGTCTATTCTAAGATCCTACCAGTTTCAAGGTATCTATAACATAGTTGTTGGGATAGAGAGAGGGGCTGAGAGCAGGATTGGGATTGAAAGCAAACGTGAAATGCTAGAAGATCCCTATGATTGGGAGCATTGTCCCTACAATATGTATGTTAGGGATCTCAAGAATCTTGATACGAACCTTTTCGGGCATTGCTCGCAGCATTAAAGAGTATGTATAATCTAGGACTGGATATACTCGTTAAAATAGGGATATCTGTAATTAGAGCCAGCAAGCAATGCAAGTATATTAAAAGTATAGTTGTGTTGCTAGCTGGCTATAAATAAAGAAATCATCAATTGGGTTGTTGTCTTAGTCTTAAAGGTTGGGATTGAGATCCTTAAATATAGGAATCAAGAACCCTAATAGTGGAGATTGAGATGGCAAAATTTAAAAATGAAGATCCCTCGATCCCTTTCCTAGAGCGCCGCAGTGAGATTCCAGAGAGGGATCGCCACGTATTTTGGGAGGTCCGATAACTATGCTCTGTAATATTCTGGCTATAGCTACTCTAAATTCTTGTATGCAGATTATACATCAACGATTATGGTCCGAACTTATTGGTGTTCAACCAATAATGCCATAATTGAGGCTCCAATCCCATAAATTAAAAAAGTAAGCATGCAATTTATATAGTCAGAGAAGGGCCTATCACAATCTTTGTCTTGCCTTAGTGGTTATCTGAAACACAATTCATTTGCTTTACAACAGAATAGATATGCTTATGACATTATAATCAAGTGACAAAGCCACCATAGTTTCAAAAAGCGCTAGGTCGCCCAGAGCCTAGGCGGGCGCTGAGAACCTGGGCAGCCCAGTTAAAATAAAAAATAAAAAGAAAAAAAAGATAGTCTGATTCTGATAATCCATAAGAATTTTGATAATTCATAAGACCATAATCCATAAAAATTTTGATAATCCATAAGACCATAATCCCAGTTGAAAAAAAAAAAAAGATAGAAGTCGAGAAGAAAATTTTGATAATCCATAAGACCATAATCCATATTTCCATACAATGCTAGAAACTAGACGTATAAACTAAAAATAAAAAAAATAAAATATATAAAAAATAAAAAAATATACGAACTACAGTCTAGGACACAATAGTCAACACTCAACACTCAACACTCAACACCAAGAGTCTCCAGTCATCATCATCATCATCAAAAGGAATAGGGTAAGCCTCATAATATACATCAGAATCGAGGCCATCATCATCAGAGTCATCTCCCTCTTCAATATAACGCTTGTCCTCTTATGTTTCTTCCGAATCTACATCTTCCTCCTCTTCTTCTACCTCCCTCTTACTAGTACGTGCAGATGAAGCCCTAACAGTCTTGGCTGCTCTACCATTTTCTATCTTTTTGTGCTTCCCTGAACTCAAATATTGCATAATCTCCTCCCTGGTAGCCTCAGGAAGTTTTTTACACGGGGCAACATCCCCTTTAATACCGGCAAGGTATTTTTTAAAAAGGTAAATGCCCCCATTAGTATCATTTCCACAATTACATTTAATACAATTTTTTTCATTCGGATTCGGGTTATAACCATACTTCCAACCCGGATCACCACTTCTAGAAAAACCTAGAGAAGTTATTTTCATAAAACAAGGCTCATTTTCGTCATTTTCTGATTCTTTTAAATTCAGAAATTGTCTAATCTCATCCCGAATAGCTTCAGGAACTTTTTTACAGGAAGCAATATTCCCTTTAATATTAGCAAGGTGTTTCTTGAATCGGTTATTACCCCCATTGGTATCTTTTTACAAAAATTACACTTTATACAATTTTTATCGTTTGGTTTTGGGTTATAACCATACTTCCAACCCGGATTACTTCTTTTAGAAGAAGAAAAAATAGATCTATTCAAATGACAAGGACTTTGTTCCTGTTTTTGTTTTACAAAACTCATATATTGCTTAATCTCCTCTCTGATAACTTCAGGAACATTTTTACAAAGAACTTCAGGAACATCCCCCTTAATACCGGTAAGATATTTCTTACACTAGTTTATGCCCTTTTTTGTATCTTTTTCACAATAATTGCAGCTAATGCAATTTTTGTAATTTGGATTCGGGTTATATCCATATTTCCAACTCGGATCTTCACTTCGACTAGATCCTGAAGAAGACATCTCAAAATAAAGCAAACAATCTAAAAAATAAAGTTTTGCACTTACTTCGATTGCTCGAACTCCAAACTCCCACCTTTGAGATGTTTTTAGGTGCTAAAATAATCAAAAACACCCTGTAATAGGATTATAAAACTCCAAAACTAAATCTAATCTACCTGGGTGATGTTTGGATCCGTTTTTAGTACCTTTGAAACACACTTCGATCCAATGAAAATCACAAAATTTGGTTTCTTTGAAGTTTCTTTCTTTCTAAAATGGGTTCTTGTGGGTTTAGGTTTCAAATGAACCTAAAACAAATCCTTAAAAGCATATGTTTCAAAAAAAACAATAGAACAAAAATAAAAAATAAAAAATTCCGGCCCTAGGCGGGGCTCAATCCCTGAGCGGGCCGCCCAAGGCTGGGTGTTGGGCGCGGGCGCCCACCTAGGCGGGTTCCGTACCGTCGAGGCGGCCGCCCAGGGACTGCTGCCCAGCAGCCTAGGCGCTGGGTGGTCCGCTTTTTTGAACATTGAAAGCCACACAAATTGTATTTGAACAAGTACACTGAGAACTGTAACAAACCAGCATGGCACCTTTAACTTGAACCAGATGTTGTTGGAATAAAGCAACAAGCCATCCTAAACGAGAATATCAAAAACTGAAAAACTATAAAAATAAATTTGCCAAACAATTAACCCGACCATGGAACACACACACCAATCAGACTAGACGAATAGATCAGTTTTCCTCACTTATTTAAAGTTTGAAGACATCAGTTTGGACTTTAATATGGGCACCAACCCAAATATAAAAGAAGATTAACCGACAAAACTGCCCTGCAAGCCATCCTAAACGAGAAAATCAAAAACTGAAAAACCATAAAAATAAATTTGCGAAACAATAAGAACCCAACCATGGAACACACACACCAATCAGACTGGACAAATAGATCAGTTTTCCTCACTTATTCAAAGTTTGAAGACATCAGTTTGGACTTAAATATGGGCATCCACCCAAATATAAAAGAAGATTAACCAACAAAACTGCCCTGACCTATGAATTCAAGGTGGACCACAGCCATTCGAAAACTGGCTAACATTTCACACGAAGCATTATGTTGAAGCACTTCCCACATGCTTGGATATATAACCAACACGGATTCCATTGCATTGTTTTTTCTTTTTTGAAGGGAAAATTCCATTGCCATTTTCTTATCATTAAAAAATTAGACACACAGGTAGAAAAATTTAACCAAGCTGGCATGTAGATCCATGTTCATATATCACTAAGTATAACTACAAGCATTATCAACATGATACATGTCAGAGAACTTTCCATGATGAAATTATATTGAAACTTAAGAAAACTAACCTCCGAATGAAGCTTTGCCATAGGCATCCATTCGCCAGGCCCACAAAGATCAGAAAGCACATTAGCCACTGAAGAGACAACATCTTTCTCCTCTAATTGCAGCAGCTGTTGATTATCAGCTTCTCTGTCAGCCCTTGATCTTGCCTCCCCCTTTTTATCTGCAGAAACCAGAGAGGGCTCAATGTCTTTTGATGGATACTTAGCATTGTACGCAGTTTAACGAAGTTACAGAGCTTTTTGCTAATTCAAAATCTACTACAAAAATGAACTAGAAAAGCTGATATCTTTAAAGGCATCCACCAATAAAAGAAGAGTAAAATGTGGAAAATGTGGGCAAGAAATCCTATAACATGTTATAGAGTCACAGCTACAGAATTTCAACTGATTGCAAAAAAGATATATTTATATGTCCTTCATTCCAAATCAACTACATACAAGAGCAGCTTAATAAAATTCCACCTTGCAAAAGTATAAGCTATCACGATGGTCACGTTGACTTGACCATCTTGGCCGAATGATAGCGACTTATTTCTTATACATATTAATATACCAAATCATAACACAAACTCAAGTATAACAGTCACTGTTTATTTTCAGTCTTCATTATTTATTGTGCACTTTGCCCATATTAAAAACAATGTACATAAAATCTCACATCAATAAAATCTCTCTCTCTCTTACTCTCTCT